TTAGAGTGTCTCTTATAAATTGAGGTGCATTCTGGTTGGGTGCATAAATATTAATAATTGAAATCTCATCATATTGAGTATTACTTTTCACAAATATAAAGTGACTGTCCTTGTCCTTGCTTACTTTTGTTGGTTTAAAGCCTATTGTGTCTGTGAATAAAATTGCAACACCTGCTTTTTTCTGCTTTCCCTTTGCCTGGAATATAGATGACTATCCCTTCACCCTGAGTCTATGTTCATCTTTTTAGGTAAGATGAGATTCTTGTATGTAACAGATACAACAGATATCTGGCCTGGGTTTTTGTATCCAGTCAGCCAACCCGTGCCTCTTTAGAGGACAATTTAAGCCATTCACATTAATTGGGAATATTGATAAGCCTGGTTAAACTTGGTATTGAGTTTTTCAAAAGTCCAGTGGACATTTTTAATCCTTTCACCACTTCAGAAGTTGGAATTTGATCAAAAGTTTCTGAGTGAGTTTACTTTTGTGGTGGAGGATTGCACTGGTCATTATGGAGGATAGGTCTGAGAATATCCTGGAGGGGTGGTTTAGTTATGGCGAATTTCTTCAACATGTGAATGTCATTAAAGTATTTAATTTCTCCATCATAAGTGAAACTCAGTTTAGCTGGATACAGGATCCTAGGTTGAAAGTTATTTTGTTTTAGGAGATTAAAAGTTGATGACCACCCTCTTCTAGCTTGAAAGTTTTCAACAGAGAGATCTGCAGTCATTCTAATATTCTTCCCCTTGTAGGTCATGGTTTTCTTACATCTGGCTGCTTGCAGAATTTTCTCCTTCATGTTAACTGTAGTGAAGTTAATTATGATGTGCCTGGGGGATGTCTTATTTGGGTTGAGTCATGCTGGGGTTCTGAAACTGTCTGCTATCTGAATTTCAGTATCTCTTGACATGTCTGGAAAATTCTCTTTGATTATTTCATGAAGTAAAGCATCTGTATCCTTCACAGCAAGCTCATCACCTTCAGGAATTCCTATAAAGTGAATATTATATCTCCTTGAATTATCCCAGAGTTCTCTGAGAGAATGATCCATTTTTGCTCTCCATTTCTCTTCCTCTTTGAGAGTTTGGGAGTGTTCAAAAGCTTTCTCTTCAATGTCAGAAATCCTTTCTTCTTCTTGCTCCATTCTGTTACTGAGGGATTCTACTGTATTTCTCAGATCTTGGAGGGCTGCAAAATTTTGTCTCAATGCATCAAAATCTTTTATGATTTTGTCTTTGAATTGTTGAATTCTTGAGACAACTTTGAAATGCTTTTTGAATTTCTAATTCCAACTTTGCCTCTATTCTATTAATCGTATTTGCAATCCAAATTCTGAATTCGATTTTCAACATCTCAGCCATCTGTTTATGAATGGGATCTTCCATTGTGTCTGCCGTATCCTTCCTTGGTGGGGGCATTGATCTACTCTGGTTATTCATGTTACTGGAGGTTTTCTGCTGATTCTGCCCCATGATAATTTTATACCATTTGGCTAGATGAGCAGCAGATAAGGAGAAGTTGGGTGGGGGGCTCCAGTGATTAACCAGCCCTTTTCCAAAAAGCTGGTACTGGTGTCTGTACCTTTTCCCCTAGAGTTTTGCCAAGGACCTATACAGTACTATGGCCTGAGAAACTAGGGGCCTGCTTGGTGTGGTAGGGCTAAGTGGCTCTGTCTTGTTTTCGGCTAGTCTCTGTCCTACCCTATTGAATCAGTTACTCTGGGTTGAAGTCTCAGCTGTGGAGAAATACCAGCAATTACATCACCCGCCCCCAACAGGCAACAATTGGAACAGGAAAATCCAACCTTCCCACAACCACACACCCAGGGTACCACTTTGGACAGTCCTCAGGTGATTGGCCCAGTTCAAGAGGTCCAAATCAATTGTCCCAGTCAGCACCGGTCTCAGATGGGAGAGTTCAAAAGTTCTCCAGCAACTAGATTGCAGGGGTCTGTTGGCAGCTCAAGTATGACTCACTCTGGTGCTCTGTGAGGTCAGAAGGACGCACCTAGCAAATAAATTAGTCTGGGAAGGTTGATGCTTCCTTCCCCACCTTGCATCTCTGTCACACCCAGTTACTGGTAACCCCACAGGGCTGTGACCCAGTTCCCTCCAATGAACAGATGCTCCAGGGGTTTGTGCCTGCCTGAGTCAGAGGGAGATCTATGTCTCCTCAGCCAGGCTGATGTTCTCTGCCACTATCCAGCAGGGAAAGGTGGGGCCTAACAACCTTGGGTGCTTAATGGAGGCTGGCGTGGTTCACTCAGTTCCACCCCTGCCCCTGCTTGATGTTGCTAGCAAAAGAGAACAACTTCACAGAATTTGTTTTTGTCCCTGCTACATTCCCCTGCAGATCAGATGCTGTTTGAGCTCATCGAAACTGCAACTCTGTCCTGGTCTGTGCTGCTGTCTAGTCTTGAGGCGGGCACAGTTAGAGCTCACACTCAGCTGTCAGTTCCAGCCTCTGCCTGCCCGCCTTTGTCTCAGCTATGATCCCCTGAGGGCTGGGTATGTCTTAGGGTCAGTAAAGCAGTCCTCTGGGTCATCCCCGCCCTGGAAGTCTGCCATCTCTGGCATATGTATTCCTTGTGCTCCACCTAGGCCAGTACTGCCTCAGGCCTACCCTTTACTCATGGGGCCTGCATTTCTGTCCCAGATCTTTTCCACCAGTGGCTGCCACCGGAAAAGATACCCAACTTCCTCTGGTTGCCCAGAGAGACAGGGAGTGTCTGTCCCAAATAGCCCTGGTGGGAATTGGGATAGGGTGTGAGCCCTATTGTTCCTGCCACAGCTGCTGCTCTGTGTCTCTGCTCCTGAATGGTTTCCTCTCAGTTGACCATCTTCTCCTTACTCCCATGCAGTGCCACAGAATCAGCACAGACCAGCAACAGCCCTGGCCCTGTCCACCTCTTGAGAAAATGCCCAAGAATCTGGACTCCGTGGGGGACAGGTTTCCAGACCTTGGGGTGAGGGTGGAGGGGAGTTCTGGGAGTTCAGAATTGCCAGTAGAGAATATATACAGTTTTATACCATTTTATATATGTGGCATTTTATATACATGGCACTACTAGAG